AACTCTAAAGTCTAAGGTTCAACATCTCATCTAAATATCTTCTAAATCAGATATGGGTGAAACTTGAAGTATGATTCATCCTGAGGCAAAATTCCTGTCCAGCCACGAACCTGTGAAACCTGACAAGTTACATGCCTCCAGACTACAATGATGGTACAGGCACAGGATAGACATCTCCATTCCAAAAGAGAGAGAGAGGAAAGAAGAAAGGGGTTATGGGTCACAAGTAAATACAGCAAAGCAAATTCCATTACATTTTAAGGCTCAAGAATAATTCTCTTTGGCCTGTTGTCCCACCTTCCAGGACCATTGAAATGGCAGTATCACTCCCAGTGCTCTGCAGGGCACTGTCCCCATGGTTCTCTAAGAGGGCCCTGCCCATGTGGCTCTCTGCAGCAGCACCACCCTCTGAAATCAAGGAGGAAACAGCCTTACCCCCTGTGGCTGTGATGAGAGTCGCAGCCACCTTTGAATGATACCGGAATTACCTACAGCATCTTCTTCCCTTTCCTTGAATAGCGTATGTTCACAGCCGAAGAACTCCATGGCTCTATCCTGTGGAATCCAAGGAGTCTGACAGCTCTACTTATTCCATCCTACTTTCTCTACTCCCTTTAAGTCAAACTCTCAGTGTCTTGTTGGTCTAATTCCTTCTCCCCTCCTGGCTTCTGCTGAGGTGGATGATAAAATCCTGGACTCACACCCATGATCTCTTTATCAAATCGTTGTTCAGCCACATCCTTAGGGTTTTCCTCAGAATAGGCTTTCTAAATTTTGTAATATGGTTACACTGAGAATTTTCCAAATCTCCAATTTATGGTTTCTTTCTGCTTCATTATTTATTCTTTAATTCATCTCTCTCTTCTTGTATTTTAATATAAGCAGTTAGGGGGATCCGAGCAGTACCTTCAATATTATGCTTAGAAATCTCCACTGCTAGGGCCGGCCCGGTGGTGCACTGCTACAGTGCGCCGCTTGGGAGTGCAGAGGCACTCCCGCCGAGGGTTCGGATCCCATGTACAGACCGGTTCCCGCTCACTGGCTGAGCGAGGTGTGGGCACAGCATCGAGGGTTGCGATCCTGTTGCCGGTCCCGGTCCGGTACGGGCGCAACACTGAGGGTTGCGATCCATTGCCGGACACGAAAAAAGACAACAAAAAGGAAAAAAAAAAAAAATCCTATTCTAAAATCAAATGAGAATCAAGATTTCTAATGCTCCACATTTCTATATTTTCCCAACAGCCCCCTACTGCTCCCCCTCCTCTCCCCTTTCCACCTCTAGTTTCCTAAAAGTTCAGCATATTTCTGTGATTCTTGTTTGTTTGTTCCTTTCTCTCTCTCTCTTTGTTGTCCATTTGTTTATTTATGGATTCAGCTCCCACCTTTCACAAAACACTAGAACACAATTCAGCCAAGTTATTCATCACTTTTTAACAAGAATTGTCTTTCTTTCAGTTTCTAATAATCTGTTCCTCATTTCCAACTAAGCCCTCACCAGAATGGCCCTTAACATCAATATTTCCACCAATATTCTGTTTGTACTTATGTATTCTCTAAGAAAACGGAGCCTTTCTCTCCAGCTTTCCTCTTCTCTTTGTGAGCACTCACCAGAATCACCTTTAATGTCCTTATTTCTACTAATAGTCCCATGAGCAATCTTGACTTTTTATAGCACGTAGCTTTAAACTCTTCTAGCCTCTCTCCCCTATTACCCACCTACAAAGCCAGTTACACATTTTTAGTTATTTTTTTATAGCAGCAATCCACTTCTCAGTACCAAAATCTGTCAGTCCAGCTTTTCCAGAGAAACAAAACCAACAGGAGTGTGTGTGTGTGTGTGTGTGTGTGCATGCATGCATGCAATTACAAGGAATTGGCTCACACAATGATAAAGGTTGAGAAGTCCCATGATCTGAAGTCAGCAAGCAGAGACCCTGAAGACCTGATGGTGTAGTTTCAGTCCAAAAGCCAGCAGGCCCCAGACCAAGAAGAGCTCATAGTTCAGTTTGAGGCCAAAGGCAGGAAAAAAACCAGTGTCTCAACTCAAGCAGTCAGGTAGGAAGAGTTCCTTCTTATTCACAGGAGGGTCAGTCTTCTTTTCTATTCAGGCCTTCAACTGATGGATTGACCTTCACGGTCACCCACAGTAGGATGGCCAATTTGCTTTACGCAGTTTATCAATTCACATGTTAATTTCATCTAGAAACACTCTCACAGACATACCCACAATAATATTTGACCAAATATCTGGGTACCTTGTGGCCCAGTCAAGTTGACACATAAAATTCACCATAAAAGGGAGTGTTCCTTATTTTTTGGAACATTTTGGGTAAGATTATAATTACTTCTTCTTGAATGTTTGATAGAAGCTGTCTGGGCCTGGAGTTGAATTTGTGGAAAGATATTGAACAACAGACTCATTTCTTTAATGATTATAGGAATACTCATGTTTTCTACATTTTCTCTAGTTGATTTTGATAAGTGATATTTTCTAATAATTTGTCCAAAGTTTTTATTTCTTGACATGAGATTTCCTCATATTTTAAAATAGCCTAAAGTCATTATGTACTGTTTTATTTATTTTTAACTATCTGCCCCAGCTATGACAACCCCTTTTATCATTTGTGATATTGGTTTTATGTACTTTTTCTTTCTTTTTTTTCTTAATAAACCATGCTATACTTTAAAAAAAATTTTGCTAGTTTTTTTAAAGTCCAAAGAATTGGCTTTGCTCTTTCATTGTATTTATTATATTTTTTCTACATCTTTAATTTTAGCTTTTATGTTTGTTATTTTTTGCCTTCCACCTTTTTTTTGGTTTTAAATTGCTATTTTTTCTGTAACTTCTTAAAAATGTATGCTTAGTTCATTAACTTTTCAGGCTTTCTTCTTTTCTATTTTATGTACATAAGGCTACAAATTTTTTCTAAATACTGATTTAGTTGCATTCCCTAAGTTTTCATGTGTAGTATTTTTGTAATTGTTTAGTTCAAATTACTTTCTAATTTCCATTAAAATTTCTACTTTGACTCATGGTTTACTTTAAAATGTATTTATTAATTTACATATAAGAATTTAACATATATTACAAAATAGTTATTTCTAACTTAGCACTCCCATGGTCAGAGAACATAGTCTCCATGAGTCCAATCCACTGATATCTGTTGAAACTTAGTTTGTGACCCAGCATAAACTCATTTTTAGAAAATGTTTTTGTAATTTTAAAAAGAGAATAATACATTTAGTATTTGTTATGTGTACTGTTCTGTATTTTTCCATTAGGTTGATTTTCTTAATCATTCTAGTCAAATATTTTCTATCAATTACTGAGAAAGGTGTGTTCGGATCTATATCTATCATTGTGGACCTGTCTAGCTTATCTTGTAGTTGTGTCCATTTTCATCTTATTGTTTTTAGGCCATAATATTTGATCCTTATATATTTAAAATTAGTATGACTTTGAGGAATAGTAACTTCTTATCATAATTAAGCGACTTTCCTTACCTCCAGTAATAATTTTTTTTTGCCTTAGATTTTATCTGCATCAGTTTTCTTTCAGTTAATGTTGAATTGATATGAAAGTTTCCTATATGCTTATGTCTTACAGGTCTCCCTTATAAACAGCACATGTTAGATTTTATTTGTATCTATTTGACAATCTTTTACTTCTTTTTCTGCTGGAGTATTTTGTTCACTTGCAGTCAGTTCAGTTACTGGTTTACTAAGATCTATTTCTACCATCACTGGTCCCACCCACACTCAAGAGGAGAGGATTTTACAGGGCAGGTACACCCGGTGGCAGGACTGTTAAGGGTCACTTAGAATTCTGCCTCCAAGACCACCCTAGAGGGGATGTCTCAGGGCTTCCATTTGTCTCTTTCTGCAGTTATAGTCCTCGCTCACTCTCCTGGCCATGGAGATGATGCATGATTCATACCAGGATTTTAGAATGTTTATTCTAATTATGTATTCAGGGTAGATCTATTGGGTCAACTGAGAAACAGTGAAGGCCAAAATGCTGTTTACTACCTGGTGTTATACAGCCGGCTGGTGGACAACCATAGTGCTTTAGGTCCCAGGAATTACTGTTAACTTAGAACCAGTGTCTATGATATCTGAGATGCCTGGGTGTTTCTTCTACCTTAGAGGGCAGTAACTTTATAATTGCCTGCAGAGCTTTCTCTCCCAGCAGCAGTGCTCACCCTGGCAGCAGCCGTTGGCTCCAGTCTGCATTTTCTCTCTGCACTGTGCTAACCAGCCTCGTGGTGGCACCCCAGGCATCTAGGCTGACCCTTTTCCAAGCTTCTAGGTTCTGAGACCCCAGCCCCTTCCTTTAGTTTCCCCAGCCCAGGGCTGCTCCTTGCCATGGCTGCATCTGTGTGACCTCATCATCTGCTTTTTTGCCTTTTTAGTCTTCCAATGCCTCTTTAACTAACTCTGTTTTAAAATGTCTCCATTAACACAACGGCTATAGTTTCTGTTTTCCTGGCTGGAGCCAGAGGCACATCCAAAAACTCATCAACAATAGAATGGATAAAATAATTACAATATGTTCACAGAATGGAATATTACATGACAATACAATCGAACAGATTATTGCTGCACATGACATGGGTGAACTCACAAACCTAGTGTTGATGATGCAAAAGGACATGAGCTGTATGATTCCATTTACGTACATTCTAAAATTAAATCACATTGTTTAGGGATGCACATACAGGTTGTAGAAATGTAACAAAGAACGAGGAAGTCATTACCATGAGTATCAGGGTAGCAGCTTTCACTAGCAGAGAGGGAGGGGTTGTGACCTAAAAGGGCACTCTTCTGGGGTGTTAGCCATATTTCATATTGTCACCCGAGTGGATGTTTTACAGGTGTTTGATTCACTTTTCTGCATAAACTTGTACATCATAGATCAGAATATAAAATGCAGTTGGCCCTTGAACAACACAGCTGTGGAAAGCCCTCTAAAAGCTTAGTACTTACTTCTTCTTGAGCCACTGCATTGCGTGTTGTATTAAAAAGTGCCCAGGAAGACGGGCTTGAGTCCTGCTGCCCTATACCTAGAAGGCAACGGCAGACGTTTTTAAGCTGAAAAATTGAAACTAGTGTTCATGGCTTTTTCAGTCTTAATCTACTTAACATTGCTCTCAGACCACGTTCTTCAGAGATAATTTCATTTATCACACACTCATATTTAAACGAAAACATGTTTATATTTATTTACACATTTATATTTATTAGATACCTTTTAACATATCTTAGCATTCTGCATGTCAAATAAAACAATAATTTTTAGCAAATTCACTTTAAACTTATAATGAAAGTACATAAACAAGTTACATCAGTTTTCATGAATTAACTCCTGTCTGTCAAATCATTCTTTTTTTTCCCCAATAGTATTACATTTAACTAAAACTTGAAACATTTTTGGAAGGCCCAAGGGGATTTCAGAAATATGGTCATTCCAACAATGGCTGCTTTTTCTATGCTAGTTTCTCCCTACTTGAGGTATCCATTTCAATTTACTACTTGCAGCTACCTAGTATGGCACTTCTTTACCTAAGTTTTCTGTAATAAGAACATAGGCAGTCATAAAACAAATAAATATATTTAGTTATATTTAAAACTTTTATCGTGGTATCAAGATATTATTTATTTAGACACAACAAGGTATCCAACTACAGGTGTTTTTCCTCAGAGGAATTTTAAAGAAATGTCATACTTTGTTATCTAGCGATTGTACCAACATTAAATATGGTATTCAAATTGAAATCTTAAAGTATGACTATAATTTTATTTAAATATTAGGGAAGAATATGCACCAACTTTTATTTTTTCTAACAAGCACGCCTTCAGCAATGGACATTGTGAGGAGTTTGAGATTTTCAGACATAAATCACTAACATGATTGTTTAATGATCAAATAAGACAGTGCGCTCAGAAATGTCACACGACGCTGCAGAAGTGTTTTATTGCTCTGCAGTACTCAAACAGAAAATAATGAAAAAAACAAAACTGGGTTAAAATGTTAACTTCATAAAGCATTATGATAATAGTCTTCCTCTATTAAGAAAGACTTGATATACTGATAGGCTCGAAACTCCTTTCAAGGAATTTTAAGGACTATCAAGCCTATCAGTATACTCAGCAGCCAGTGTTTGGTGTTTTACATTCAATGGTGTTTTACAGCAAGAAAGGCTCTAGCCTCGGTCTTCTTGCTGGGGCATCTGCCCCAAGGAGGGCCACCGCTTCCTCAGTGCTCACATAACTTCTGTCCTACATTCAACAGCTCTTTACACCTCTCTTGAATTAGAATCCACCCCGGTTTTCACCCTTGTAAGGGTAGCCAGAGTTCTCTTTAACTGTTTCTTCTATTGTCCCTGAAGAAGTCGGTCCACAGATATTAACTGGACAGCCACTGCTTTCCAGAGTTTTTCTAGCCTAAATTCTTCACTAGTTCACTCTCTACCCTCCAGAATATTCAGCAGCCAGTGCAGGACACTCCACTCTGATCTAGTCCAGTGTGTGCCATGGAACTGTGGAATGGAAGGACAGGGAGCACAGACATGCAGAGGAAGGCCCACTAACTAATTTGTGCTTAAGAAATGGCCTCCAGTTTGAACCTGAGAAAACTTTCATATCGCCAGAATGGCTCTGTCTCCTGCTGTGACACATGGGAGCATCCAAAACTGGGAAGTGATAACTGTTATGAAATTTTAAAAATTATAAATTACAAAAATATTTTTAACTGAAAAAAGGTAGTTCCATTTAAAGCAACCATCATAGAAAGATCTCAGAATTGTTTAAAATAAAAGCAAACAATGGGTACAAAATTGCAATTAGGAGGAATAAATTCTGGTGTTCTATTGCAAAGTAGGGTTAACTATGGTTAACAGTAAGGTATTGTCTATTTTAAAAATAGCTAGAAGAGCTTTTCAATGTTCTCACCTCAAAGAAATAATAAATGCATGATGAGGTGATAGATACGTGAAATACCCTGACTTAATAATTATACAACGTGTATGTATCATCAAATTATACAATTATGTGTCAGTACAAAGAAAGAAAGGGGCAAAAAATGGTGATCAGAAGCATGGTTCTGAGGGCTTTGAGAGAAGAGCACATGAGAGGTTAG